CCCCCCCCCTCCCCCGTAGCTTTCGTGATTATAAACTTATGGTGACATAAAAAATTCTCTGTTTAGAATGGTGTGACTGAAAAATTGTGCAATATTTCAAACATAAGTCCACATTTTTTATGGACTCATTGTGGGATAGGTTCTCCTGTTACACCCTTTTCCAAAGCACTTAGATTGAATTGTATTAATATAATTGAGCAATATATCTGTTTTTTTCCCAATAAAGCAATGTGTACATTTAAGTTGCTTGGAAAACTAATCTAAAAAAGGGATAAAGTTGATGGTGACTTCTGCTAGATTTTAAAACGAACAAAAACTTCTCCCTGATTATTTCTAAAATCAATAATATACTGAAATTATCACAAGCACGGGGATAGCAATACAGTATATGAACTGACAATGTTCACAATGAGAAAAATATATGTTTTTCTTCCAAAAGATGTCAACATTTTCTTCTAATAGATAAAAATTAAATTTCAAACCGCAGGATATTTTAATTTGCCTAAAATATTAAACAGATACGTAATCTTTAAAAATTTCAGCCTTGGTGAAACAGCAGACATTTTTGCACTTGGTGATTCATAATTAAAATTAGATCTCTGCCTATACTTTGTTATACGTTTGTCAATTTCAAAAGAGCAAATGCAGATACATGTCATATAAAAAGCATATTGCTTACTGTAATAATAAAAAGGTCAATGTGAAAATTTAACGGAGATATTTTCGTTTCACAGTTTTTTCAGCCTTTGGTTGAGATATTCTTAGCTCCATGGCGGCATCTAGTGGACGTCTGGTACTTCACATCCTTTTATTATTTCACAGCATGCTGAGTGTGATATTTGATCTCATTGTACAGTGAGTTTTATCCATATGCAATACAACCATATAATTTAACAGTATGTTAATTTGTTAAACTACAGATGTTTTTTTCCCAGACTTTCTTTAAGTTTAATCAGTGAGTAGACAGCAGTTTTGCCTTTTCAGATATAGCTCTGTTCTCTTACTCTTGAATTGCCGTTAGGCCTAATTTGTATGGAGTTTTGTACATTGTTTTCTGGCTGTCATTGTAGAATAATAAACATATTTTTGGTTGTTTGGCAAATTTTGGATTCTGGTTATTATTCATTGTCAGAAGAGTAGGCCTAATCTCATAAGCGATTGAAAGAGCCATAGCATATCGGTAGTGTGTGTGGTCTACAGTAGGTGTACCTTACTTTGTGTGGACCAAATGTCCCCACAATGTTATTTTGACATTGCAGGGACCATTTTTTTGGCCGCCATAAAGATAATCTCAATTTTATAAAATTCTGTGACTGCAATCAAAAAACTAAAAATGCCAAAACACTTGTATTTTGTTTTGTTACTTATGGTTGAGGTTAGGGCTGGGTAGGGGTTAATGTCGTCATTTTTGGATTTCAGTTTTTCCCATATAAATGAATGGGTTGTTCTCACAAAGATTTAAGTACAGGTCTGGATGTGTGTGTGTGATGTGTGTGTATGTTTTTTTACATACACACACATCAAACACATTGTTATTACAGAAAGGTACTGTGCTGTAACAGTGGTTGAAAAATGGAAACTTGGTCTCTTGTCAAAGCTGTGGAGAAAAAATAATGTTAGGAATGAACTCATCCATTTCCCATAACCAAAAGCACCATGGTCCTCAGCCCATGCCAGGAAGCATAGGGTCCAAGGCAGGGTAGGCTTTGCATGGAATTCCCATCTGACAGGGCAATGTTATGGATCTGAAATGTGATGAATTTACTATAAATATCCATCCATTTTCATAACCACTTATCCAGTACAGGGTCATGGCCAAGTCTTTCAAAAATGATTTTGTAGGCTACACAACTCCCATCACAAAACTTTTAACTAATGTTTTAGGTGGAACTGCAACATCTCTACTGATTATAGTAATACACTGTAGCTCGGGTACCAGACATGATGATCACTATCAAATGAATGACAAAATGCAAGAAAATACGCAATGGCTTTATAGCACGTATGCCACTCCTATCTCCCAACACACACAGTCCACTGACACACACAATATTTGCAACAGATAAGATTAGATACTATGCATGACTGAATATGTTTTGAGGAATGCATTATTAGGCAATTTTGACATTGTGGGAACATCCTATAGTGTACTTACATAAACCTGGATGGTATAGCCTACTACATACGTAGGTTACAGTTGGCCTACACTTATACGTAGGGTAGCGGCTGGAGGACTAGGAGTGTCCTGCATGGTGTTTATTGTAGGGCAGTCCTCCCCACCTTTTCAGCCAATGTCTGGAGGTTTCAGTGATAGCAGGGATGGGGGTACCTGTGTATTGAGCTGAAGGAGAAGTGGCGGGCTCCACATGACCCTATATACACTGGGGAAGAATTAGGTCGAAAAGCACTGCGTCAGTTTGATGTACTCAAATTTTGCTGGAGTTTGGCATGGGCTCTGGCCGTACAGGGTCCACTGAAGTTCTTTTTTGTGGTATGCCCTGTAGCATGTTCATTACAACAATTGAGCTAATATATAGATTAACGATAAAATGTACACTACAGTAAATAGGCCTACATAAACCAGTAACACGTAATGCGTTGAGCTATGACGTCACTAGGCATTTCATTTACCGAAACGTGCTTAAGCGGTGCATGACTAAAATATTAACTTCTGACTTAACCAAATCACTGGGCTTGCCCTGACACATAAGGGTCAACTAAATAACACGATTAAACTGGCCAAAATTAATATAGTATGTACTGAAATTTTAGAGGGTTAGCCAGAAATCATGCATGCTATTTAAACAATTTCGCTTTTAGTTTGAAGATAAACCTTACAGGCGTCCTTCCACGCATCACTGCAACTCAAACAAAAGCGGAAAACCTGCTGATCCTCGGCAACTCTAATACTTTACAGATATTATTTAACAGGATTTCATTTTCTCCTTCTTTCTGTCATATCAATCCAATATTTTTTTCATTCCTTTTATCAAACGCCATCTATCGATTACATTAGCCCAAATTAGCATTTAATGTCGAGATATTTAAACGAAATCGCAAATATCAAATTAAATGTACAAAGGAAAAATACCACAACAGTTCCAAACACCTATCAGTTACATTACTGTTAACGTTTGAAGGACCTGAAGGCCACTTAGCACAAACTTCAGGATACTTTTCCTGCGTAGATACAAATGACGTCGAGAGACAATTTGGTGATTGGCGCTGGCTTTTCGATTACAGTATTGTAGGTGAACATCGCATGTTGTAATAAGTACAACTTGTTCCAATTCATTATTATAATTCAGTATTGGAGGCATTCTCGCAATATATTCAGATTTTCAAATGTCAGTATCCTAAGACACACACTTTTAACATTTCCGTAATATCATTTATCTCCCATTTTAGGCAGAACTTAAAACGTAACTGTTTATTCATTGTTACAATTCCCATACTAGTTCTTGTCGGTGTTGCAGGTTTTCAGTGTTTTAGTTGATGGTAGGCCTGTACGTACAGTGTCCTTTACGTGTCCTTGTATGTCCTTTTTTTGTAATACTGTATTGCACTACTGCTTTTGTAAAGCGACTTGAATTTCAGAAACGAACTATATAAAGCAGACGTATTATTATCATCATCAAACATGGAGGTTTGTTCTAACGTAGCCCCGCCTCAGTCGTTACTCATAAATAGGATATCAAACTTTCGCTTCTGCAGAATACAAGCGCAGGTTCTTTACCTTCTCGGCTTTTAAGAAGTTTAATTTGGTACCTTTATAGACTTACGGAAATGAAGGGATATATAATGTTGGCGTATTTGGCGCTCGTAATGCTTCACTGGACGCAGGGTAAATATAACTTTCTTCACAATTTACTTATTGTGTATTTCGTGTATATTGTGTATATTATGTCCTACTTTTAAACGTCAAAAGTCAGCCTACAATTTCAATAGTCCTTTTTTTCCTACTTACTCTCAAATTTCCCTGTTTTGTTTTAAATTTACTTTTAGGTAAACTGATTCGATTTACAGTAAAATGTTTACATTCTTCTTCCAGGAAGTAGACCACAGTCTATTGTAAACGGGGCAAACAGGAAAAACAAACAAACAAAAATAAAACTTGTATTGAGGTACTTTAAAATGTTTGTGCTAAAATGAAGTGTACTTGAAAAACTTATCTGAGGAAAAAGTTATCTGGGAATGTTCCATGATCATTTGTGTTTTCATGGTATTTTCAAGAGGGTGTTTACTTATTCAAATGTATTTGTTAGAATGTATTTAAAAGTTTTATTTTGAATATTATATTATTTTATTATATTTTATTATATTATATTATTATATTTTGAATGTCTTGTTCTTATTTGTTTGTTCAAATTAGATATATTTAGTCTTATCAATATTTAAACAAAACATTTTGGAGGGAAAAGCTTTGTATGGTCTTGTTTCATATTTTTCACATAAAATGCACGTGGGTCTGTTAGACAAAATATTAATTAATATACATAATGACTCTTCATTAAACGTCTCAATCTATTGTTGATTGCCATAATATTTTCAACAATACCTCTTTTGTTCAACACATGAAAGCCTTAAATAGACCAGTAATGTAATGCCAGTTTACTAGTGTAGTTTTGATACGGTGTGCTGATCATGTAGTGTAATACATATAATAAAGCAAACAACAATCCATTCACAGTGTAATATGTTAGTCTGAAATGTAGTAAGGTTAAAGGCATGCTAGAATTTACTAAGTGATCTTTCTTTCATCAAGATCTGTCTCAACTTGCTTACCAAAAGTCCCTGCTTCTGTGATATAGTGTTTCCCAGAAACTTCTTGCCATGTCACAAATTCATTTTAAAATTTCATTTGCCAGATCCATGACCATGGTTAATTTTCTCTGTGTCTCAGGTGCCCTGATTCTGAAAGGTCCAGAGGGCCCAGTTCTGGAAGGGGACTATGTTACTCTGGAGTGCCTGGCAGACGTGGAGTCAAACATGAGCCAAGTCCACTTTGAGAAGTTTTCCAAGGTGAGTATCTCTTCAACAGTGACCTGCTGGGAAGTATCGTGTACTGTAGCTAATTCTGTTCTAAGCTACTCCTAAGTTCTAAAGGTTCCTTATTTTGTCCTTAAATAAGTTATTGAACACTGGCAGCTCTTTTAACAGTTTGCACTTTGACAGTGGTGTTTATTTTCTCTACTGGTTGTATGCCGGTAGTCCCAGAGTTAAGAACGTCTGACTTACGTACAACTCATACTTACAAACTGACTGCCATAAAACCTATTGTATTCCGATTAAATACAATGGTTAGTAATAACTAATGCATGTACTACTTTATGATGCTCCTGAAAACTTCATTGGTTCTCACGCTCGAGGTATAGTACCATATGCAGTAATGTTTATTATTATTATTTACTTATTACATTTATTATTATTTTTCCAATGTACCTACAAATTCTACTTAAAGACTCTGGGAATGAATCACCTTCTTAAGCTGGTGGCTGCCTGTATCACATAAGGCACATTCTTCAGTCATACATCTGATCTCCCCCTATAGCGAATGCAGAAATGGTTCCGCCTGGAGCCATATGAGATGTCATTCTACCGACGCTGCTTCTCCTATGACCTGGACTTGAACCGAGAGCCGGGCCGTATTGTTCTGTCAATCTTCGCCATCCAGAGCTGGACAAATGGGCCCTATCGCTGCGTTTCTGATAACTCTTCTGAGCTGTACAACTCTTCTGATTCACTCTCCATACCTGTGCACTGTGAGTAAAACATACTTATTTAATCTAGTTTTCTATTTGGTCATATGTACAGAGACAGGATGAAGAAATACAGAATAAATACCACTCATACAAACATGGGTTTGTTACCTATTTTATATGTCCTTCCCTAGCAACAGCAAGCCACATTATCACCCATTCACACACCAAATTGGCAATAAAAATATGAATATGGCTGCACCAATGTGTAAATTAGCCTTGTAATGTTGCAATGCTGTGCTTGTGCATGTTAGCATCTCAGCCTTTCCACACCTATGTTGTTTTGATTCTTTGCATATCTGAACTTTTGTCACCACTTCCTTTCTGCCTCCCCTCCCCCCCACACTCAGATATGCGTGACCTTTCGGTCTACAGAGATGGAGGAAGCTACTATAATCGCTACTTCAGCTCTCTGCAGGACTTGCGTGTGCCACTAGGGGACAATGTGGAGGTGGAATGTTCAACTTCTGCTTCTGAGACGCCAGAGTATTCATGGAAGAAAGAGGTAAGTAGGTGGACAGGAGTTTGCTCGCTTGATTATGTAGTAGTTCTCACTTGACACCAAGCAAATATTCAGAGACTAAAAATAATTTTTAGTTTGAAACCCATTTCTCCACCATATCAGACCCTAACCTCCTGTTCAACGATGATTTTGTGTTTGTGTGCTATGAACTGACAAATTTTAATTTACCAGAGTCCAGTGTTAAAGGCCTATATTTCTCCATTGGAAGTACATTTGGCTTGATGATTTTTTTCCATTGACCCTATGCTGAGGAATTTGTGCTTTTCCTTTTGGTTTGATCAGCCATTTCCACATTTCTTGTGACACTGGTAATCCATATATAGTAGAGTGATCAAATGCAAAGAGTTTCTGAATCCACTTGGTTCCTGTGTAATGTTCAGTGTCACATTTCCAAAATTCAAAATGCTCCAACACTATATACTCGCATAAAAATTCATTTTCAACCCCAACAAAATTTCCCAATGAATTTAGAATAAAGGAATGAATGCCAAAGAATTTTCCGTGGGATCAATTAAGTCTAAGCTATCTGAAAATGGTTGATGTTCTTTTTGAAGAAATTCCTTCAGGTGCTACCACAAGATGGCAGCAGAGCACGGATATTTATTCACGATTGCCAATTTGCATAGATTCTGCAGTCCTGGCCAAAACTTGGCGTTACTGAAAATCCTTTTAATTCAATTCAGTTCAAATTGAAATGAATTTTATTGGCAGGAAAATGATATCTTCATGCCAAAACAATTGCATGGCAACAGTTTCCTTTGTCATTTTCAGGCTCTGTGTTCTTCCTGTGCTGAATTTCCTTACTGCCTTGCTCTTTCTGTTTGCACCAGTTTTCCATCTCTTCTTAAATCATAATATGCATTTCAAGATAGCAGTGGCTGTCTACTCAACACCCATTCTTGTTTTAAAATGTCAAAAGTTATTCATGTATACAGTATGGATTGGAAGCAAGGGCACCCCTTCAAGAGCAGAAAGTTAACGTCTGTCAGACATGCTTAAATTATGACTCGATCCGAGACACTATAGGACATTCTGTATGTCAAACCATATGTCACTGCCGAATGTCAATAAGCCCTCCCTCCCGACCCCCCACTCCATCCCACCCAAATACTCCTAACCATTCTCTTTCTACCCCAATCCCAATTCCCCTTCCTGCATTTCCAGGATGAGGACTGGGTAGTGCTATCTAGCAAACTGAAGCTCAAGAAGGTGAGGATTGAGGACAGTGGCAAGTACACCTGCACTGCCCAACACCCGTCTATCTCCCGACTGTCCAAGACACGCACCATCAGCATCACTGTGCTGCCAGGTGAGAGACGGCAGTGCCTCAATACCAGGTTGGATCTGATGCAAAATAGAATGGGATTGGGTAGAATGGGGAGGATACAGTCTCATACGGCAGCCACGGGGTTCATGACATCCTCTGCATTAAATAAACTTTAACACAAATGATAATAGATTATATTCTTTTGTAATGTTTAAACATTACTAGTAATGGCAACTTCATTAAATTTCATTCACCTATCTATCTATCAGTTAATGTGTTATTCAGTATACTAATAAACGTGAGAATATTACTGGCACTATGTGATATCACTACTGATGAGTATGTCAATGAAATTCCAATTCATGACTTCGTGGTCTCCAGAGGACGCCCCCTGGTATGAGTCCACCCAGGGCCGGATCATACTGATGACATCAGCTGCAGGGGCGGGGCTTCTGCTGCTGGTTATGTCAGTGTCCATATGTCTGTGTCGCAGAGCGTCTAAGAGAAAGACCAAGGGGCCCATGTAAGTGGAATTGAGTCTGTCTGCCCTCAGATGTGTCCCTGCCATACGTGATCTGTCCATTACATGCTCATTATGGCACTGCAAAGGGAACTCAGATTAGCAGAATTAAAGCAGTTTTACAGCGTTTGACTTGTTCCCAACATCTAATCCTTGGAAAAGCTCAGCTTTGATATAATGAAGCATTTTCTCAGAGCTACATTCTCCTTTACACCCCCATTGGGTTTAAACACCCCCATTTGCCACATGCACTGCCAGATCTAAGTGTCTGTTCATTCCAGTCACTTGTAGCGTGCAACAGCGAGAATTTTTTTCCCTCTTTGGCAATCCCTGCACACTGCTGTGCTGAAGATGGGGCACTGATGGCTCTCCTGTCTTTCCTCCTTCAGTGATGACCATTCCCAGAAGAAACCCATCTACACGGCCAGCGTGGAGTCTCTGCCGTCCACCAGCGGAGACAAACAGCCCCTGGTGTGAGCCAACAGACGTAAAGGAGGGAGGGGGAGAAGGAGAAGGAGGATCACAATCATTGTGTATAGGATTTACGAATGAAACATATTATATCATACATAAATTCATGACATCATACATAATACAGCGCGATAGTTTCTGCTCCTGCAAGCTCGACTTCATGTCAGTAAGCTTTTCTCTATATTGATTTCATTCCTCCTTTGAATTCCTCTTCAGACTTATATGCACTTTTTTTCAGACTTTTATGCACTTTTTTCAAGTTGAATTTTTCAGTAGAAAGGACAGTTCCATAAGCCATTCCCATGCAGGTCACATGACAGTACTTTGTGTCATAGTGATGTTATTTTAGGACTGTAAGACATTGAATAGCTATTATTATATAGGCCTTTCATACTATTTTAATGTGTAAAATTCTTTAATGTGCAAAATTTTTAGGGCAGGGCAAAAAATCTTGATTTATAATGACAAATGCACTAATGACAAATTTATAATGACAAATGCACTTTCATATTTTACAAAGGAAATCTTTTCTGTGACTTTCACCTGTCATAATAAAACCTCTGAAATACAAATACGCCATTTGTCTGACATAGAATAGAATGTATTTGTATTCCTGTGATTCCAGCAGTAAGGTAGAAACTTGTAGATCTTTACAGTTGGTTTCGACTGGTATTGACTAGTCCAGTAGGAGATATGGCAGTGGAGATACTGGAAGAACACATCCAGCATGTCGCTATATATATATGAGCAGTTGCTCCCATTCTGCAGACATGCGAAATACTGCAGAACAGATCGATGCATTTAGAAAGCGACTCGCGCTGCCATAATCACAGCCCAGCTTAGAGAGAACAGTGCTGTTATGCTTAATCAGACTAATACAATTACCCTCCTTGGCAGTGTTAAGGAGACATATTATACAGATACTTTCACTAGTGCAAGTACTGAGGTATTAGCATTAAAACCATGCAAGCATCTGAACAAACATGAACTGTGTTTTTTTACTCCATTGTAATGTTCTTGTGGCCTTTATTTCACCACCATTAACTTTTTCTTCATGTCCGCTGTGCCTTTTCCTGCATCTGCATTGACCTTCAGGTCTTGTTCGAGAGCTTCCCTGTCTATGGAATACAAAACGTAGATGACAGTCCTTCGGCAATTTTAAAAAGGACAGCCTCTGCTTTTTAAGTAAAACTGACTTTGCTCTTTTTTCACTATCACAGTGTTCAGGTGTTTAACTTTGTAGGAACACTCTAAAATGTATTCTTAGTGTATTTATTTTGCATTTATAATGGCATATTTTTACCACCAAGTACCCTATCTTTAGATCTGCAACTCATTACGCTAATGTTATTAATAACTATACTTCCCATTACTACCGTCTTCTGCATTTAGATTCGGTTTTATGTAGTTGATTATCTGGTTTCATCTGACTGAAGACTGCTGTTAATAACAGGACCAGAAAGAACGCAGACTGAGGTCGCCACACATCACTAGATTTAAGCTATTAAACGGATTACTGTTACCTTTCTTTTTCTAGCCTCTAAAATGCCTTTTACTGGTTATGTAAGATAACAGAGGTGTATGTTTCCAGCAGGCCTAGAACCAATCAGACGTGCTCCTATTTGAAGCGAATATTCAAATGGATGCATAGAGATATGATTAAAACAGCATAATTTAATTTAGGCCTGTGTCTATCGTTCTGATAGCTAAAGGTAGAATGAAAACATATTATTTTACGTATTATGTGGTAGGGAATGAGAAGCTGGTGGTTTCACTCATTTCACCCTTATATTTAAATACACTATATAGACAAAAGTATTGGGACAATTCGTCTTAATCAATGAATTCAGGTGTTTCATTCAGACCCATTACCACAGGTGTATAAAATCAAATACAGTGGTACCTCGGTTCTCAAACTCACTAAAACTCGAATTTCTTGAAAGTCGAACAAACCAGTTTGACCTAGATCTCTATCTGAATATCAGAAGTCGAACCGTGAACGCCGACCTAATATAAATTGTATGCGCCAGGAAATGAGTCATACTACAATGCAACTCTTACTTGAATGCTTTCTTCATAGACTGGACGATTAACCAAATAAAGCAGTGCAAAATTACAGTAACTAACAATAAATAAACCACTAACTCACGTGTACTATTAGAGCATTTATGTCATTTATTTAAACTTAATTTTACCAGGTAAATTAACTGAAAACCAGTTCTCACTGCTTTACGTGATATTCGTTAGAAATAGCAGATTACGCATCGGAACTGCCTGGGATACAAACGTCATGCGTGTACCTAAACGCTTCGGCCAATAATGGTGCATTCGATTATTTCTCTCCAAGTCGGAACTCGGATGAAAACGTCACGAAACATCACAAAAAACGTCACTTCCCGTCGGAAACATGCCTCTTTTATGACGTTGAAGTCGGACAAGATTTTGTTGTCTGAGTTGCCCCTGTGACGTAATTTCAACATGGCGACTTGGTTTGTTTGTAGTTTGTTTACCGATCGAAAAAAGAATATCGCTATGAATGTACTAAAATATTTTATAAAGCTTTTAATGTGGTTTGACTAGTTCGTGTTTCTTGTTTGTCTCTCGGAAAAATCTCCATTTCTCCATTTTCTCCATTTGGAAAACTCCAAATCTGCTAAAATATAAAGCAACAACACACAGCAACGTGTTCATGGAGGCAGCCAT